TTCTAGCCACTAAGCCCATAAAAATAAAACCATTCAAAACATTTGACTAAATAAAAGAATAATTTGAGCTAAATGTTTTTTGATTTATGGGCTGGAGCAATAGCACAGAGGGTAGGGCATTTGCCTTGCATGCGGCTGACACGGCCAACCCATGTTCGATTCCTCTGGCCCTCTTGGAGAGTTTCTCGCCCACAAGGCAAAGCCTGGCAAGCTACCCGTGACGTATTCGATATGCCAAAAACAGTAACAAGTCTCGCAATGTTACTGGGCCTGCTCGAGCAAATCGATGAGCAATGGGAGGACAGTGACCGTGGAATGTTTTTTTCTTTATAATAGGTAATAGCTATAATATTACAATCTGAACTTTATAGATATTTTTAAATTACTCTTTAAACTTCAACTTGCAATTGGTAAATTACCAATTACGTATAATAATGAATAAATTGAATAAAAGATCAAAATTACAATAAAAAGGTAAAGGCCCTCCCGTTGATCATCAATTTGCTCGAGCGGGCCCAGTAATGTCTCCATTGGAGACTTTGTTGTTACTGTGTTTGGCATATCGAATACTCTCGGTAGCTTGCCGGGCTCTCCGAGAGGGGTGGAGGAATCGAACTCGGGTCGGCTATGTTGGCCGCTTGTAAGACAAACACCCTACCCGCTGTGCTATTGCTACCATAGCACAATACAAAAATACAAAAATACAAAATACAAAAATTACAATAAACAAAATTAAAAATTTTAACCTACTTTTCTCCCAAAGATCAGAATATGAAGAACATATACTTATTTAATTTATTTTTCTTTTTGGTGTTATTGATGTTGTTGAACTACAATATTCTAACAACAAAGAGATCATTACTGAAGTAACCACAAATCAGAGTCCTATAATAAGACCCTCAGATACAACTAAGCCAAATGAAAAAATTATCAATGTTATCATTATCAAATATACACTTCTAAGGTGAATAAGAAGATTGTCATCTAACCTATTTATGTCATTAATTATTTTAAATTGGAGCTCTTTCTACAATACTGCATCACTTCTTATATAACATCTGTATTCTCATGAAATGGAATTCTTAATTAGGCATTTAAAAAAATGGTATGGGGGCTAGAGCAATAGCACAGTGGGTAGGGAGTTTGCCTTGCATGCAGCCAACCCGGGTTCAATTCCCAGCATCCCAAATGGTCCCCTGAGCACCACCAGGAGTGATTCCTGAGTGCAAAGCCAGGAGTAACCTCTGAGCATGACCAGGTGTGACCCAAAAAGCAAAAAAAAAAAAAATGGTATGGAAAATATACTGAACCAAAAGTTCTTTAATTAAAACAGAAATATACTGAACCAAAAGTTCTTTAATTAAAACAGAAAGCCCAAAACATAAATTCATTAAATTCTGAAAACTTTATTAACAAGAACACACACAAAAATCACCAAATGCTATAATTTATTACATTAAAATATACTAGTGTCATCAGTAAATTGGCAGAACCAAGTGCTGGACTAGCCAAAAATGAGAGAAATATACGACCAGACAAAGGGCAGCCATGAATTAGATAGAGTTCAATGAAAAAAGTTTACAGGTATGCAAACAAGAGTTACTATGTTCCTCACACCATCATTAAATGATCACTGAACCAGATGATAAAGACTTACCTTCCCTCAAATCACAATTCATACATAGCAGAACTAATATTCTCCATCAGTTCTATGAGACTATAAAGGCCCCAGTGTAATCTCTGTGCTAATCACCAATATACAAAGTAAACTTGAAGGGTAATAAAAGACAGACAGAGGTGGATTCTGAAACAGAAAAGTTATACAAAACCATACCAACTCCAGGAGAAAATAGAACAAAAGCAAAGAAGTATATACATATAGAAGCCCAGACTAAATATGAACAATGGACAGGATTGATGCATTTTGATTTATAATAAGTCTTCAATGGGAAGACATTAATCATTAATGATTATTAATTATTATTATGTACATTATTCTTTTAATTATTAATGCTTAAAAATGATTATTTTCCCCTGCTTTCCCCCGTCCTATTACTGTTTTCTCTCAAAATTTTTCAAGCCCCATCTGCAGCTACAAATACAAAAATAAACAGGTCCTAGCTTACTTAATATTGATGAGCTCCGAATAAGAATGAAAGTAAGTGAATTTCAATTGAATTAAATATGTGGGATCTAGTGGATCACTCAGCATACATTTTTAATCTTAGAAAAATCCCTTTAGATGAAAATATTCAGAATGTTTTTGTACCATACTGAAAGTTATTTTACTAATAGTCAAAATATGCAACACCAGGGAATCAAAACTTCCTAAGATGAGTAATAATTTTATCACATCATCTGCTCATCTTCTTTTATTATTAAGAGTTTTAATGATTTTGTTTGACATACATGATGTTAAGAATGTGCTGCTAAATTTCTTGAAGCTGTAAGAAATCAAGAATGTACTCAGTAGTACTAGGAAGATGGCTATGCGCATGCATTTAACCACAACAGCATTGTAGATGGAAATGGTTTTTCTTATCAAGTATGTTTGTATTGCTATGTTCATATTAATGCATTTCAGAAGTTACATTTAGCATCAGTATTATACAATTGGGAAATTCTCCCAGCAATTCTAAGCCAACTTGGTTGACAGTTCAATGGAAAGGCCTGAGAGTATGGTGCTTCTCAGTACCTAAGGGTTTACTTGAACTACCCAATGGTGCTCAGGATCCGAGAAATACTTGGGGGCTTCCAGGGCAGAACCCAGCGATACTCAAGGGATCATATGGTGCCAGGAATTGAATGGAGTCAGTCACACACAAGATGTGATTTATTGGGGCTGGAGCAATAGCACAGCAGGTAGGGCATTTGCCTTGCACATGGCCGACCTGGGTTTGATTCGATTCGCAGCATCCCATTTGGTCCCCTGAGCACCACCAGGGGTAATTCCTGAGTGCAGAGCCAGGAGTAACCCCTGTGCACTGCCGGGTGTAACCCTCCCCCCAAAAAAAAGATGTGTTTTATTCCAAAACACTCAATGGACTGAACTACACGATATTTTAGGGAGAACTGTTTTTAAATAGAAAAAGGTTTTATAAAGATCTGATAATGTAAAGATTCAGGGAATCAGGTACGAAAACGAGTCCTTTATTCTTCACCTTTAGCTTATACCAAAATGATTTCAAGGAAATTACCTTTCTCTGCAGACACACTTCAGCCTAGCAAAAGGGTCTGTCTGTTAAGGCCCTTAACAAACTTAGTATGTTGTTATATATTAAATTAAAGATGATGACTTGCTTACCTAAAGGATAGGCCATAAAGTTTTGAAATGAGTTCAAATAATGTATTATGTAGCACTAAGAAAGAGGATGTGGGTAATGAAAAGTCCATAAACCTGGATTCTTACAAGTGCCGACAGCAACCATAAATCACATAGAATTAGACATACTATTTAGCTTATCTTATGTATTGCTATGAAAATCACTGTTAAAATGGGAAAATGTATTTTCAGTAAGGAGTTTCTGGCTCAACTTTTGAGTGAAAATTCTAATTAGTATCTTTAAAACATAAATTCCAAAAGGTGATTCCAACATTTCCTGTGTAAACAGAAAATCTGACTTTGTTTAGCCCAGACCCATCATTTTAAGAAAAAAACATCTTTTCAATGGTGTTAGATTTTGAAAATACAGCTTAGTAATATAAAAATAAAATACATTAATCTAGATGTTTTATATTAAAGAAAAATTAATTTTCTTTGTAAAATTATTTTCATTTCAAAGACAATATGCTTCCATGATGTTTAAAAGTCAGAAGAGAATAATCCAAGTAGAAACAAAATTAGCTGCATGAGAATTTATGTTTTTTGTTTATTCTATAAGCTTTGCATTGAAAAATATATTTTAAAGAAATTTTGTACATGTAAACATATTAATTGCATACTTTATTATAATAAAAATTTAAAATAACAATTTATCTTTAAATAAATTTTATTCTAATATCAAATGAAATAACCAAAGTTTACCCTTCATACTCAGAGCAAACTTATACCTTATACTTCATCAAATAGACATGCTACTAAAAATTTTAATGTACAAACGAAAATCCTGTTTATGACATTAAAAGTTAATTTTTAATGGCAGTCAAATATTACCATTTAATTAACATTACCTGTTTAACCATGTTTATCATTTTGTAATCTTTTCACTTATCCAGATCAAAACAATGATTAACAACAATAATAACATACCTGAAAACAGTATAACTTACTAAACCATAAACTACAATAATTCTAATATAAAAATTTATCTTTACATTTTTGTTCTTCATTCTAACCTTTAGAGAATTATCTAAGAATGAAGAATAGGTCAGAAATAAGTCATAGCAAGTCATAACAAGGAAAATAATTTGAATTACCAAGAAAATTTTCAAAGAAAAATATCTGCATTTGGAAAATGGGAGATTTCTAGTTTTCAGGAAAAATGATAAACTGTTTGCAGAACTGCTACCAACTAAAGTCATATTTCACCGTGATTTTGTTATGTAAGATATATAAGAGTGCCATGAAATTTTATTTGCCATAAAAATGCTTAGAACAGTGACATGATTAGAGGCATTTGGAAATGAAATAAAGATTAATGACAAATAGCCATGCAGAAAGCAATTAAAATAGTAAAAAAATAAAAATAAAAAATAAAGTTATGAAAATGCAAAATAACACACAATGGCTCAAAAAAGATCCTGGTTTCAACCACAGACATAAGCATGACATTTAACGACATAGATCACTTTGAGGTAAGATTTGGCTTGGGGTGGAGGTTGGGGGTATTCTTTAAGATATCACAGGTTAGCTGGGTAAGGCAAAAAGTCAAAATTAGGTAAACCACAATTTCAAGTCATTGGCCTATTTCAGCAAAATGTAAAATCTCTAATATCAAATGTGAAAGTCATTACTACAGTTGCTGAGTTCATGAAGGACTGATAGTATGTAAATAAAGTACTTGCCCCTTCTGATTTCTCCATTGTGTTAGCCAGCATCTCCTGCAGGGCCCGGACTGAGAGAGACTGTTCCAACACAAAGGTACAGATGGAAAGGTCTGGGGGAACATTCTGTAAAAAAAAGGAAAGAAATTATCAGCATTATCACCACCAACAACACCATCAACACCATCATTGTTATCTCAGCCACAACAGCAAGCATGCAAACCCAATTTACCTTATTTAGACTTCAGTAGCACACACTCTCTCTCTCTCTCTCTCTCTCTCTCTCTCTCTCACACACACACACACACACACACACACACACAAAAACACACTTAAAATTGTTTTGTTTTCTTTGGGAGGCTCTCCCTGTGGTGTTCATGGTTCAGTTTTGAGCCTAGACATCACTCCTGGCAGGGCTCAGAGAACTGTAGGGGATGCCAAGGATTGAGCCCAGTTGACTGCATGGAAAGTAAGTGCCCTACCTGCTGTACTACCTCCAGCCCACAGTTCTCTCTGTAATCACTGAAATATCTTGACTATACTGATCACACAATAATTTACAAATGATTTTATATATATATATATATATATATATATATATATATACACATCACTGTCTTCCCATTGCTCATCAAGTTGCTCGAGCGGGTCCAGTAACATCTCCATTGGAGACTTTGTTGTTACTGTATCTGGCATAACGAATACATCACGGGTAGCTTGCCAGGCTCTGCCATGCAGGCGAGATACTCTCAGAAGCTTGCTGGGCTCTCTGAGAGGGGTGGAGCAATCGAACTCGGGTCACCATGTTGGCTGCGTGCAAGGCAAACGCCCTACCGCTGTGCTATTACTCCAGCCCAAATGGTAATTTACAAATAATAATTATCATATATTGACTTCCTATTCCAATAACCATTACATCCAGATTTAGAAATAACTCTTATGCAAAGAGAAGTTAAGTTAATCTTCCAGCTGCAAAAATACTCCATTTGGGGGCTGCAGCAATAGTACCGCAGGTAGGGCGCTTGCTTTTGCAGGAGGCTGGTCCCTGACATCCCATTTTGTCCCCTGAGCGATTCAGGAGTACAGAGCCAGGTGTAAGCCCTGAACACCACCAGGTGACAAAAAAATTGTTTTTTAAAAAATTGCTACATCTGCAATTGTTTGTTCATTGCAGCACTCTTTACAATAGCCAGAATCTGGAAAAAACCTGAGTGCCTGAGAACAGATGACTGGTTAAAGAAACTTTGGTACATTTACACAATGGAGTACTATGTAGCTGTTAGAAAAGACGAAGTCATGAAGTTTACATACAAGTGGTACTACATGGAAAGTATCATGTTAAGTGAAATGACTCAGAAAGAAAGGAATAGACATAGAAAGATTGCATTCATCTGGGGAACATAAAGTAACAAAATAGGAGACTAACACCCAAGAGTAGCCGAGTTAAATACCAGGAGGTTTACTCCCTGGCTTGTATGCCAGCTTCACACTCTAGGGGTAAAAGCAGCCCAGATGTAGAAGGGAGCACCAAATGGGGGGTATTGGAAGGATCCCCCCAGGATGGGAGAAGCATGCTGAGACTAGACTCTAGACCGAACATGTTGCCACTCGATGCCTCTTTTGCAGGCCACAGCACCCAAAAGGAGAGAGAGAACAAAAGGGAGTGTCATGCCACAGAGGCAGCGTAGGATGGGGGGGATTGGGGGGTGGGAGGGATACTGGGATCCGTGGTGGTGGGAAACGGGCACTGGTGGAGGGATGGGTATTTGATCATTGTATAACTGAAACCCAAGCACAAAAATGTGTAAGTCTACAACTGTACCTCATGATGTCTCACTAATAAAAAAGAAAAGCTACATTTTTCAAGTCAGGATTCAAAAAGCCAGATTTATTATTTTTTCAAGCATTCTTTCTTTTGGGGGGGAAGGGAGCAAGTTGAGCCACAACCAACTTTGCTTAGGACTTACTCCTGGCAGAGCCTGGGAAGCATATGCCTTGCTGAGGATGGAGCCAGTGTCAGCATCCAGCAAAGCAAATACCTTAACTGCTGTACTCTGTCTCTAGCCTTCAAGCACTTATATTTGTCAATTATTCAACTGATAAAAGAAATGAGATGATAGCAGGTATGTCTCAAATAAAAATTGAAGATTAACACATAAAATTTAACTGTCAAAAATGTTTATTTATATAGGCTTTACTTTATCCACAGGGATACTTTGTTTTACTCAAGTTAGAGATCATATTTCCTTTTGTCATGTGTAACTGATTTCTGGGCTGGAGTGATAGCACAGTGCGTAGGGCATTTGTCTTGAACGTGGCCAACCCAGCTGACCCGAGTTTGATTCCTTCGCCTTCGATTCCTCCGCCCCTCTCAGAGAGCCCGGCAGCTACTGAAAGTATCTCGCCCACATGGCAAAGCCTGGCAAGCTACCCATGATGTATTCGATATGCCAAACACAGTAACAAGAAGTCTCACAATGTTACTGGGCCTGCTCAAGCAAATCGATGAAGAACAGGAGGACAGTGACAGTGACAGTTAACTGATTTCTAGTGTATGCATGTGTGGGCTCTCCCTCATACACACATATCTGTGAGTGTGTGTGTGTGAGAGAGAGAAAGAGAGAGAGACAGAGACAGAGAGAAAGAGAATGAAGGGCTGGAGTGAGGGAGAGCAAGAAGTCATGACAGGCTGCACTTCAGCAAAGGAAGCAGTAGGCCTAAGTTTCTGTTTTCTGAAGACTGGTATTGCTGTTCCCCCAATAGGGGCTGGAGTGATATCACAGCGGATAGGGCGAGGGTTTGCCTTGCGCACAGCTGACCCAGGTCCAATTTCCAGCATCCCAAATGGTCCCCTGAGCACCACCAGGAGTAGTTCCTGAGTGCGTGAGCCAGGAGTAACTCCCGTGCATCGCCAGGCATAATCCAAAAAATGCCTCCCCCCCAAAAAAATTTGTGGTTAGAGTTACCGGAAAATCCCCACCATCACCACCACATTAAAATCAGTAAGCGACACATCCTGTTCTCCTGTCCTGTAGCCTGTTACTGGAAAACCCGCAAAGCGTAACCATTGGTGCCTACTAACTATGCTTATGTGATTAAGGATATAAAAACCTGCTGTAATAAGGGCTCAGGGTCCTTGTCAAGACTCCACTGCATTACATGAGACTTGGACCCTAGCTCGAGCTAGTGATAAAGGTCCTTTGCTCTTGCATCCTCACGTGTGGAACTGAAATCTCTGAGAACGAGAAACTCCAAACCCGGGTATAACAAGAGATCTTGAACTTATTTTCTTACTTTATTTTCCTTTCCTTCTTTCCCTTCAACTTTTACTCTAACCAATAACCCTATAAACTCTGAAACCCCCACAAGGTAAGAAAGCAAAGGAAACATGCTAAAACTGACTGTGGAGTAAGAAAGAAAAATTCCCTCACATATACAAAATCATTCAGGCATGATTTTTCTTGAAATTAGCAGGATCCAATATATTATTCAGGAGGGGGAGAGATTTACAGTTATATTTTCATAATAGAAGGATATAAGTACATTAAACACAAAACGCAAAACCAGGACACAGGCACCCTAGGGGGTCACCAGGCTGCAGGGCTCATGAAGGTGCCCGGAATGAAACATGGGGTCAAAGCCCACCCAAAGCCCTTGTGGGCACAAGCAGAAAATGACCGCCTTCCTCGGAACCCTCAGCAGGGTTCCTGTCTCTCTCCTCTTAGAGGGAAGACTCAGCCCAACCATGCTTGGAGCTTGGGGGGGATGCAGGATGGTTCATTTCTTTTTTTTTTTCTTTTTGGGTCATTCTCCACACATTTGGATGAGCCTCACACATGAAGGAACTGGCAGAGGAACCCAAGTGTGTGGGACCCAGGGCTGAGATCTCCAAGCCTGCTCGGATCAGGACTGGGACTCCTCCACCCAGATCCCCGACCTTCCAGTAGGCAGGGATTACACCCACTAATTGCCCCCAGCGCCATGTTATCCCATCAACGGCCAAGACTCAGGTACTATAAAAACCCAGCAAATGCAGCCCTGCGACCTCTTATTATCAAGTTCTCACTTTTGGAGAACCCAAGAGGCTACCAAGTGTGTCCTGCCTGCATGGCAGAAACTGTCAAGCTCCCCATGGCGTATATGATATGCCAAAACCCAGCAACAATGATGGGTCTCATTCCCCTGACCCTGAAGGAGGCTCCAATGTGGCACTTGCTAAAATCTCAGGGCTAGGACGAATGAAGACATTACTGGTGCCTGCTCAAGGAAATAGATGAACAACAGGATGACAGTGATACAGTGATACAGTGAAACACAAAACACAACCAAAAGCATGTCTTCCTCTTCATAAAAAGAACATTAGAATGATAGGTTTGATATGATATAGTGCAACAAAGTTTCATTTTATAACATTTAAATATTCATTAACTTAGCCAACTACCATTAGAGTGAGTTTTTTTCTCTAAATATGTAACTTTCCTTTTATAGATTTTTTTTATTGAATCACTGTGAGACAGAACCTTACAAAGCTGTTCATGATCGGGTTTCAGTCATATGGTGTCCCACTACCCATCCCTCTACCTGTGTACATTTCCCAGCACCAGTGTTCCCAGTTTCCCACCCAACATCCCTCACAGAGTGATATTTTTAAAAATAAATTTATTGATTTTTTTAGTCACTTTGAAATTACAAAGTTATTCATAATTAGGTGTCAGGCATACAATGTTTCAACCCTAATCCCTTGAGCAGTGTCCACTTTCCCGCACCAATGCCCCCATCCCATCCCATTTCCACCCTATTTGCCTCCCTGCCACCAGTCTGCTTCTATGATTGGCCCTTTTGGCACTGTGGTTTACAGTATTGTTACTGATAAGGTTTCATATAACACTTTAGCACCTTTCATAACACACCACCTCATCCCAGCTTAGTGTGTCCCTCCACCATAGGTGTTGCCCCCTCCCTATCCCCAGCCCCCTCAAGTGCCATGTTTCTTGCTGAATATCATATCTCGTGTTCTTTGTTTCCGTTTTCCTTGGGTATTCATTATTCCACCATTATGTTTCTTTATATCTCACATATGAGAGAGATCATTCTGTGATTCTTATCATTCAGAAAATAATGTTTTA